TAAGTACCACTATTTCGCAATGTCCGTCATGCGGATCGTTGATTTCTTTTTATTCTAATGTTTTAATTATTACTATTACATACAGGGTAATTAATACTAGTTTTATTGCACTAGTGAAGACTTGATCAGGTTACGCACATGTTGAGAAATGAGTTCGTAGATGAGAGGCCATTCATTCACAATAATATCTCGAGAAATACCAGAGCGATAGCTCGATAGAATATTTTTCCTACTCTCCCTCTTGAGAGAGGGATCATCTAGTCATTAAAAGGATGGTCACAACTCCAAAAGTCCCAAAGGGATATTGCTACGTCTTGTAATTTATAATGTCTAAATAACTAACATCTATTTAGGTACATACAATTCAATCTGACGAAAAAGTAAATATAGGAGAAAATATATTATATAGTATTAAAGTTACTAACAAAATATTTTAGGTAAGTACATAAGTACAGTATTCGATTTAAAGTTTCTAATCAATATGACATCGACATTCATTGTAGGTACTTCGGTATTTAATACCTTCCTTATTGCTTAGTTTACATGCTTTCGTATGTGGATATATGTAACAAGCGATGCGGCTAACTTTCCATGATGTAAGTTAATTCGGATTTCTTCTACTTATCGAAAATCTATGTCACTGATGCATACAGATTTTAACCTATTTCTAGCTTTTATGATGTCATTACTCTCAATCGTGTTTTGTGTTGAGATGGAAATAAAAGACTCTCGTTATAGGAAACTTTAAATATTTATTTTTAACAAACTTATATGGCTTAATGATTAAATATTATTATTTAAAATCGGTGACTAATTAATGATGATAGTGGTGGTCGTGTTTGAAGTGGCCTTTGTGTAGAACTTCAGCGTTGAATCTAAAAAAGAAAATTATATCGGTGTTAAAATAGACCGTTCAATCTATCATTGACATGACAAAAAAATTGATGTAAAAAAACGTTGCCCCCATTATGTATTTTTCCTATGTCGTGGGTGCGTTTACAAACAACAAAATTCACATACACATGACACCAGAAAACCTGGAACAACGATCTGTAGATCACATAAAGCGTTGTTCCGTGCAGGAATCAAACCCGATACACGTTGCACGGCAACCGGTTGGTTGCCCAGCCATCGTGCTAATTACATGGTTTTTTTTCTTTTTATCAGGAAAGTAATGGTTATCAAGTGGCTTTGAAAACTATAGTCATAATCCTCAATTTAAATAATGTTTACTACACACCTAATTGACGGAAGTAAAATAAAACGTTGTACGAAACTTACCCAGTCTTCTTGTCAGAAGTATACTTGACAGTTCTGATTGAGCCATCAGCTTCATGCAAACTGTACTCGCCCTTCACGACATCACCATCACGGTACTCGTGTTGGTACTTCTTGTCACCGGTGTGAGGGTCTTCCACTTTGTACTCATACTCGTATTTGGGATGAGCCTGGAATTATACATCAGCATATAACATGTTTGTAAATATATGTGTACATCCTGTCATTTTATTTAGTAGTTAAATTAATGTGAAAGCAAAGCGAAAATTAGAATGTAACAGTTCTATAAATCTGGATACAGAGGAATCCGATATTCAACGTGCAATTTGTATCACTAGTTTATTGTAAATTTTAATAAGCCTTAGATCTTAACTAATAACAGAAATAAAACTTGTAAATAAGTGTGGGAGAGCCATGCTTTGGCACGAATGGGCCGGCTCGACCGGAGTGATACCACGGCCCCACAGAAAACAGACGTGAAACAACGCTTACGTTGTGTTTCGTCGTGTGAGTGAGGTTACCGGAGGCCCAATTACCTCCTTCCCCAATCTCCCCAAAACCCTAATCCCCCACAATTCTCAAATTCCTAATTCTCAAAAGGCCGATAACGCACTTGTAACGCCTTTGGTGTTTCAGGTGTCCATGGGCGACGCCGATTGCTTACCATCAGGTGATCCATCTGGCCGTATACCGGCTTATCCCATAAAAAAAATAGTTGCAACTCACATAGTAATCAACGTGGTAGTTGTGATGATCGTGGTGGGATTCTTTGTGATGTGCTACCTTGTGCTGTGTTTCTTTCTTATGGGAAACTTCAACAATAGGAGCCTGTTGGACTACATGATGTACAGGAACAATGGGAACGTAGTGGACTGGAGCTTCAACGGCAATGACCTCATGAACTGGAGCAGGTTCTTTGGCAGGGACGAAGTAATGCTTAGGAGCTTGTTGCTGGATCTGTCCTTGAGCTTGGACATGTCCATGGTATTGGGGAACAGCATGAACTGCTTGAACTACATGGGCTTGTACTGGAGCCTTATATTCAGTATGATGTTCTACTTTCTTTGGTGTTTCATGCTTGATGACTGTTTTTAAGGAGATTGAGTGATGGTGGTGGTCTTGGCAGTACCCTGCTGCCAGCAGAATCATTGCTGCGATTATCTGAAATAAAATGAAATAATGGCTAATGTTACTTTTGAAATAAAATTTATTATAATATAAACTAGTCCAGTGTAAAATCAGCTTTGCTATGGCAATGAATGAATTCAGAAATTCAGTTACCGTTATTTTCGTCAACAGATAAAACTAAAGGCGCTTCGCCACATTAGTATTTAGACTAGGAAGTAGTCTAGACGTGAATGAGTTCTAGATTTTCCTACTGTATAATATTCCCATTAGAGTTATTTATTGCGGTTTCATGATTCTGATGTTTGGATACTAAGTTTTTTTGACTGGAAAATATTCTATAGAAATGTTTTACTACTGTCATTAATGCTTTCTTATTTAATTTAAAATTATCAAATCTATTACTTAGAAATAAGTATTGATGTAGGTATACCTAAGTAAGCTGATAAAGCCTACATGCAACAATTTATTCGAGGATAAGTTATAAAAATACCTTAGCGAACATCTTGCTGCTGTTCCTTCAAAAGCTGGTACAAGTATGATGCTGGACCCAAAAAACACTTTTGGTTTTATACTCAAAAATAATAATCAGAAAACCGGTTTCGGCGAAATAAAGGTACGCACTGAAAATCTGGTTCACACACGAGTAAGCTGAGTTCGTGAATCTTTACGCAAGCGTTCATTTCTTCAGCACTTAAAATACCCAATCTGTCATCGAAAGTAAATATGAAAGTAATCATGATAAATGTAACCTTCATTACAGTAACAGTCTGAACCTTAATTTTATTATCTTAATATTTTAAGAGCATTTTGTAATTCCAACAGAGTAATATCGTATGACGAATTATTATTTAAGAAAGTAACTAGTTAGGTACATATAAGGCAAGTGAGATGCTTAATAAAATCTTACGCATTATAAAAATTGTGCCTAGTACGACTGTGGAAGTCATATGAAGTTACTGAAAAAATCCAAAACCCGCAAGAATTCGAGTAATACTTAGTGGTACTGGGAATCAAATCCGAGATCCCTTGTGCAGCAGTCGCACTTTCAACCACTTGACCAATGAGTTAGTCGAATATGTATATAAAAGTAAATTTTATATTATTGATCAATTTTAAATCAAAATTGTAAAATCAATTATTTATTGGTTCATTGAATTATTTGAAATGTAATAAAAGCTATTTAACAATAGCTTAATCAATGAATGCTTACAAATGAATGAATAGAAGTGACATTGAAAATCTGATACTTGACAAAGCTTATCTAATAAGTTATTTAATAAGAAACGTAATTGTATCTGCCTCGTTGGCCGAGTGGTCGCAAGTGCGACTGCCGGGCAAGGGGTCTCGGATTCGATTCCCGGGTCGGGAAAAGTATTACTGGGTTTTAAAAAAAATCTCAGTAATTGCACGGTGTCTGGTAATGTGCCCGGTAGGTATGTGGCAATAGGCTGATCCCCTATTACATGGGACTCCTAACATAAATAGTGAAAAGTGGTTGTTACATTGTACAGTGGCATTAAGTGCCGAAATGTGCACCCCTGCCTACCCCTTCGGGGATAAAAAGGCGTGATGTTATGTTATGTTATGTAATTGTATCTGTCAATGTACAAGTAAACGGGAATTAGGATTTGGGATAAACAATAATTTATTAATATCAATATTTATAGACAGCCTGCTAGTTTCTTAACCCTTCAGCCACTCACATTTCCGTTGTTTGTTATGGTTTTCCTCTATTGTTATATCTAGGTTGGGAATTGTCCGCCTGCCATTTTTAGCCGACAAGTGGCATAGTCTGCCATAGCTCCCAATTTACCAGTCCACAGCAACCCATCCATAGCTCTAGTTTTTTGCCATTATCTACAATTATTATTTATTTTATTAATTTATCAAATCACATAGATAAGTATGTTATAATTGTAGCCCCACAAAACCGTTGCAATGGTTTGATTGTGGGGTCGAGTCACTAGGCATACCAATTAAATGTACCTACTTATAAATATAATACAGGCGTTGAAACTTATATATGTAGAATGTAAGACATTTGCTGCAATAATTTCTTATGTCTTCAATCAACTGACCATCCTCAATACGAAAAAGTGTACCAACATACTTATATTATGAATACAGAAGTTTAATAGAGCTTAAAATAAAACCTAACTATACAAAATAACATTTATTCTCGCACGTGTTATGAAAGCTGTACTTATCCACGCTCGCGTTGCGTTCACGTACAAAATGACGCCGTTTGCAGCAACATTGGACTTCATTAATACTCTATCAGTTTTTCATTAACCAAACTACTGCAACTGATTATCACTTAGGCCACTTTTTGTTCAATTATTATTTGTGTCAATACACAGAGCATCTTGCGCAATTCACTTATAACAAACTGTGCAATGTCACACTGCAAGGTGTACGTAGTCATACCGAACAAACGCTTTTACGAAATTCATTGCAAACGCATACTTACTGAAGTTCGTGAATAATTTGCTGCTTGTCCATAGCTTAGAGAGAAATCTATATCACCTTGACTACCTTTGATATTGATATAAAAGACGTTGAATTTGCTCATTATGTATCAGTCAACTATTGATTTTCCTATCATTAGCACAACAGCTAATAGAATCTATTTACCCAAAATGTTCTCCAAGGTAAAAAATTTAGTTATTTCAACCCTTAGTGTTCATTATGTGAAGTGCCTTGTGTTTGTGTGGAACTGTTCAGTGATTTGTTTTGTCTAGTACCATTGACCAACGACTACTTATTATTTGTTGGGCTCCCAAAGCAGTGAATTCATAAAACCTTTTTAATTTTAACTAAATTACCTTTATCAAACATTGAGTAGAATAATTTAAATATCAGAGTAATCATGTTAGAAACCTTCCACCAGAAAGAGAAATTTCAATATCTTTCCTTTTTTCTCCATAGTGGTCCTAAAACTTATATAATCTAGCATTACATCCATTATACCCTTTTTTAATGGGACAAGCCCGCCATAACCATCCATAACCGCTGCAACTTCTGTAAGGCAGGATCTACAGTAGATACAACCATAAAAACACCGAAACATTGAGGTCCCAGGGACAGGACAAACGTCTTGGTTCTCGCAACGAAATAAATCAGAAGATATTATAAGAGAAGAAGAAAAGAAATTATACCGTTTATTGCTGTTTTCTTTCAGGTCCTGTGTCTCGTAGCTATCGTAGCTTCCCTGGAAGCGGTGTACGGCCATGGTCATGGTTTCTCCTCCCAATACATCCACCGTCACGATGGTCCTGCAGAAATTGTCCATGTTCAAGGCCACGATGGCGGTCATGGTGGATACGGTCATGGTCATGGACACGACGGTGGTCATGGACACGTTGACTACTATGTAAGTTAAACCTAGATCTAGTCTTTTTGGTTAAGTAATCAGGCATTTCCAGTGAACCTTGTAGTACCTTACAATTAGGGAATACTAATTAAAACGAAAATGTGGTGCAGCTATTTGAAAACCATGTATTGATACAATTTCTTCCCTTTCAATAAAATAATCTGTCTAATATTTTAGGCGTACCCCAAATACGAGTTCGGATACAAGGTAGAGGACCCTCATACCGGAGACATCAAGTCCCAGCACGAGCACCGCGACGGTGACGTCGTCAAGGGTTACTACGCCCTGCACCAGCCTGATGGCTCGGTCAGACACGTTGAATACCACGGTGACAAGCACTCTGGGTAAGAAAAAGTTTTATCTATATGAAGTTAAAAATGTCAGAACTTTTTTTTGCCATATTTATGTCTATAAACTATTGATTCTTCAGACTACTTCAACTTAACAAAACTAACTTCACGTATCGTTAGTCACTATAGCAACAATAGATACTGTTTAGTCTGATGGTAAACGGTCGTCCTTACCTTAACGTCAAAAGCACCATGAATTGCCGATCATTTAGGAATTTTATTAATTACAAAATGACTAATTTCATTTTCCTTCTTCCCCCAGTTTCCACGCTGATGTGAAGCACAGCACCCACCACATCGTGCCCCACCACCACGCCCACTACTGATTTGAGCCTCAACTGTGATATATACTACCTTTACTTTTCTCATACCAAACTGTGATTTAATGTTTAATTGTTGCTGAGTTTATATTTTTTATATTACACGTTTCAATTCTTTAAATATGTCAATTTTATTTACCTAAAACGCCTTTACAAAGAGTATTTTAAACAAAGTACAAGTTATTTCCCAAACTTGAATTAAATGAAAACAAAAATATATCGATAAAAATATTGACACATAAAATATAATTTCACTATCATTTTTGTAAATATATTTGTGTTTGGACACTCACTTATTCTATAAAATAGGTACAAAATAATGTTTTTTAAACAACACTTGTCAAAAGACCACATCAAAATCGGTTCAGTCAATCATGGGATAATCGCAAAAAAACACACTTACATACACACATATGAGTAACAATCTAATTGATTAACTATTCAGTTTTAATTATTAAACTATCTACCGCAAAAAATAAACCCAGTTTCAATTTATTTGATGACTAAAATCTATTAACTATTATATCAGTAGCTGGTTTTATGCATTGTGTAGGTCACGGATTCCGTATTAATTGAACCATAATTTCAACAGTCAGTTAAATAGTACCAAGGTTTCTTGAAAAGTATTTCATCGTTTTTATACTTAGCTCTTAAGGAAGTTTATTTTTAGTGAAATAATATACAGAAAAGGTTCAATGTCCAATGTAACACTATAATTATTCATTTACTGGTTGGTAGGTATATGTTTTCCGATCCAGTAAACACAGATCTTAAACTTTTAAAAGGCGAACGAAATACCGAAACTTTGATTTAAGCCAAAAGAGACAAAAAGTTATGATTACATTGTAGGTGTTCATTTTTATTGTGGATATTTATATTATTTTATTATCTGAAAAAGACTCAGGGGACACAACTCCCTAGCCCTTTCCATCATTGTACCACAAGACAACCGGCGAAGCGTCACCAATTCATGGTTGATATATCCCAGCCACACGCACAAAGCGCTTCGCATCTAGCTTCCTTGTGCGTACTGTTAAGGAGTGGAATTCTTTGGAAGAGTCTGTATTTCCTGAAGGGTATAACCTGGGTGTTTTCAAGGCCCGAGTGAATACGTTGCTTATGAGTCGACGTGCTCCATCGTTGGCCACATCATCGCTTACCACCAGTTTGGTGAGATAGTGTTCAAACGTAAGACTCATCTAGTATAAAAAAAAATCCATCTAATTAATTACAATATATTCATTTGGATACTTGTGGCATTATTGTACTTGCTGAGATAATATTTTAAGTAAAAATAATACTCCCAGTATATACTCCTCTTGGAGAATGGTTTGAGCTAATGTACAGCAAGTTTGAATTTGTAATGGCGACTGACAGCAAAGCGGTCATAAAGTATTCAGTTTTTTAAATGATTTTATTTAGCTTGACCCGATTGTTAGTTTGTTAGTAAGTTTGTTTGTGTGGGTCACATTTAGTAATCGAAATTTCACGCCCTTTCTAACGACAGATCTATCTGATTTTTGATCAACACTCTTAATCTTGATGACTATATATTATTATAAAATAATATACAATTACGCCTTCTATCCTCGAAGGGGTAGGCAGAGAAACAAATTACGGCACCGAATGCTACCGTACAATATAACACCCATTTTCACTATTTATGTTATGAGCTTATTGCCATATACCGGGCACAATCCTAAATTCCGTGATACTACTAAGATTTTTTTTAAAACCCAGTAGTACTTTGGAATCCAACCCAAGACCTCCATGCCAGGCAGTCTCACTTGCGACCACTTGGCAAACGAGGCAGTATATTAGTATAATCGTTTATTTTCCATAACTACCTTCATTAGATATCAATCGAAAGGACTTGATTGGTAGAACAGAGCTCATTAAAATAGTTTAACATATAACTTATTTTTATATATTACTTGGCTTACTTAATCTGGCCTTTGTGTATATGAGCCAACCTCCCAAAGTCTAAATCTAATGCCATGAGAAAGACGTCTTGAAATTATAAGTATCCGTACTTTGACTTTGTAGCACCCAGCATTAAACTGTCAAACACCAAGCGGTCACCGGTGACCGCAACCTATTGTTCTATAATTGTGTCTATAATGACGGTACTCGACGAGTTAAATTAATAGAGTCACACAGCTCTAGTAGTAGCAGGCTCTAGTGACGTTTTTTGCGATATAAATAAAATAACTAATAACTGTAATTAAAAATGTGCATGCTTTATAAAACACTAGCCCGTCCGCCCGTCCCGGCTTCGCACAGGGTAGACAATTATTTATTTTTGGAAATTTGGATTGTTGTAGTGACACAACTACAATACTTGGACTTATGCTACCGAGTTTTTTGTAGACATTATGATGTTCTTCAATATTGTTGTACATTATTTAGTTCTATCGCTAATAGTTTCGGCAGCGCATTTGACGAAAGATCATTTTTCTACACCTTTGGGTACATTGTTCAAATTTTACCAAGGATCCCTAACTTTTTTCAAAATGCCTATGTGTAATTGGGAGAATGTAGCATTCTATTGGTGAAAGAATTTTTTAAATCGGCCCAGTACTTTTTGAGCCTATTAATTACAAACATACAAACGTACAAAAATAGATACAAATTGTTCCTCTTTATAATATTAGTATGGAAGTATAGATAACCAAACAAGGAAACAAGGAAAAATGTAAGTGAGCGGTTTTTTTTTTTTTTTTTTTAAGGGGGGAAAATCATCGAATGACTGCCCCCGCCTGGGTGAGGCGGGAGGGAGTGTCAGACTCTTACTGACTAAAAACCACCCCGTTCCTTCTCCTGCACGTCGAGCCGGAGCCCCGGTTACCCGTTAGGTTCTCCGCGACTCCGAATCGGCATCGGCCCTATTGGGCCCCATCTGTGGTGGTCTGATGGCTCTTTGAGGCGCGCGCGGAACGCGACGCGCCGTACGCTCGGGTCTGTTTCTGGTCGGACGGGGAGCCACCCATGCTCGCCGTCCGCAGGCCCGCGCTTACGGTGGCCGGAGATCGTCCCGCGATCCCCGACGCCCGGTGTGTCCTTCGCGATGGCTGGGTTGCGAGGAGGCAGCGCTTCGCTGCCTCACGCGTCCCGCCTCCTCCTTAGCTAGCATGACTGCTTCGCAAAAGGAGGAGACGGCATCCCAATCCCCCTCGCTCCGCATCATGGCCTGCACTAGGCCCGGACGCGAGAGGTCGCCATCGCCGATCACTTCCCTGAGGACACGGCGGTGCTCAGCCCACGAAGGGCATTCTCCCACCGTGTGTTCCACCGTGTCCTCAGGGCGGTCCTCGCAGTGATGACACCCGGGCGTTTCCTCCCGCCCCATCAGACACAGGTACCTCCCGAAACTTCCATGTCCGGTGAGGACCTGCGTCAGGCGGTAGGTGAGGACGCCGTAGCGTCTCTCAAGCCACTCCTCAAAGAGGGGACTTACCGCTGCGATGGCAGCGAGCCCAGCCCTCGGTTGCGACAGTCGTTGCTGCCATTCCGCCATGAGATCGCGCCGGAGCTCATCCCGCCACGCACCTATCTGGCGCGGCAGCGGGGTTTCGCCCCGGCGACGTGCCTCCGCGCGCATGCTGTACACGCGCGCGAGCACCTTCGCCTCCAGATCCCACGGCGGTAATCCGGCAAGGAGGTTCGCCGACTCCCCAGAGATCGTGCGGTATCCGCGGATCATTCGGATCGCCATGACCCTCTGTGCCATGAGCAGCGTCCGAGCGGGACGCCGCAACAGGTTTGGCGCCCAAACAGGGGCGCCGTAGAGGGCCATGGACCGCACGACCCCGGCGTATAACCTCCGGCAGGAGGCGTTTGGCCCCCCGAGGTTGGGGAGGATGCGTTTAAACGCAGCCCCCGTCCTCGCCAACTTTGGAGCCAAACGTCGGAAGTGTTCAATGAAGTTCCACCGACTGTCGAGGACGAGTCCTAGGTACTTCATCGTCGTCTCGACGCCGATGGTAACTCCTCCCGAAGTGAGCGGTTAACTGTGTATGAGAGTAAAGTCTTTGCAGCTTTTCAAAATAGACTTGGAGAGAACAATAAAATTGATTTAAATTCGTACCACGTATTTTGCTGCATAATCCACTTTCTTTAAGTACCCATTTATTATATTTCGATTACTAATTAAAATAAAAATCATTTTACGTTCTCGCTCAAGGTCTACACATTTTACCAAAAAGCCATAATATTCTACAAACTGGTTCCGCCAGTACCTTTAAACATGTAAAATTGTTCATATAAAAAGAAAAAATATGCACTAAGAAGTTATCAGTCACAGTTTGTACTTCGAAAGTAAACATACAAACCATCAAAATGTACAAGGTATTGTTTTTAATCAAAAAGTAAATTAACGGTTTTCTGGCAACAATAAAATTTCCGATAATTGACTTCATTTTCATAATTATAACACAAATAAAAAAAAATACCAATTATTGTGTGTTGTAATGTATTACCTAAATTTTCAAGTGTATCTTAAAATGTTACAGATCTTCCTTCTTGCCGCTGTAGTTGCCGTGGTCGCCGCGCGGCCACAAGAAGGTCACGGTCACGACCAACACCACGGTCACGGCCACGCCATCTCCTCGCAGAGCATCGTACTGCACCACTCTCAGGAGATCAAGCACCCCGTACACCACGAGGAACACCATGAAGAACAATATCACCATGAGGGTCACCACCAGGAAGAACAACAACAAGATAAACACCATCACGAGGAACAAAATCATGACGAACACCATTATGATGGACATCATCATGAACAGTACCACCATGACGACCACCACGACGACCACCACGACGACCACCACTACGAGCAGTACCACTATGATGATCATCACCACGAACAGTCCCACCACGAAGAACAACATCACGGAGAGCACCATAACGAGGAACACCATGGTCACGCCTCCTCCTCACAGAGCATCAAGCAGTACCACGGAAAGGCCACTGAGAAACACGTCGAGTACTATGTAGGGATATTTTACTGAAGTCATTAAAAATCTAATCTATTATTGTCTAAATGAAATTTGTAACGATATTCTTGATTTGTTATAGGCTCATCCCAAATACGAGTTCGCGTACAAGGTCGTAGACCCTCACACCGGTGACAAGAAGTCCCAGCATGAGGCTCGTGATGGTGATGTAGTGAAGGGCGTATACAGCCTGCATCAGCCTGATGGCACTGTCAGGATCGTGAAGTACCACTCTGACAAGAAGGCTGGGTAAATATCAAAGTCCTAAAAAGTAATTTAACATCCTGTTTGATTTTCATATAATTATTGTATTCATTTCTTTACAGATTCAATGCCAACGTGCATTACGAAGGTCATGCCATTCATGTCGTTCCTGATCACCACCACCATCATTGATCCTGTAATTACCTAACTGGTTAAAATATTGTTATCTAGTGAACAAGGCATGTGTTTATTTGTAAATAATTTATTCATTTAAAATTACAATAATACCTTATACGAACTATTTTTCATTTTTATTTTCCCTCCCTGGATGCACTATGGAAGTGTATTAGAGGACAATTCCAAATTGACGCAGGACTATTATGCAACGAGGTAGAAAATGATATATGGTTATGGGTGTGGATGGCTATGGACTAATAGACATGGTAACTATGGAAATACCATTTCCACTACCCCTAATCAATATTAATACAATGACATACTTGTTGAAGCGACTTGTGTCATTTATGCATATATAAAACAAAGACGAGTTTGTTACAACACTTATAATTCGAGATCGGCTAGACCAATTTTCATGGTTTTTGGTTCGTTGGATTTGTCCCCATCCTGAATAGCAAAATACATTTTTAAAATAACGAAAACTCGAAGACATTATAATTATAAAAGATGAATCATTTTCCCTTAATGTTACTTTGTTTCGTACCTGTCAAACATTTGTTGTCCATCCTGTCAAATACTATAAGTAATGGTTGACATGCGTTCAGAAATACGATTAACATTTCAGTTCAAGTACTCTTTAAATTTGTTTGCAAAGAGTAAATTTGTTTGTTTTGAAAGGCGAGAAAGTTCTTATTCCAAGGATTCCGATGATCCCAACGGATATGCCCTTTCCATTTAAACGAATTCAATTCCCGATTCGTCTTGCCTTCGCCATGACGATTAACATATTATAGGGCCAATTATTGATTATTTGTAGCCTACATTAAGGAAATGCTTGTTTTTCTCATGGTCAATTGTACGTGCCATGTTCACGTGTCGGTAAACCATCCGGTTTTTTTTATTCTTGCGCCTGACAAAAAACAAAGAATGTCGTCTACCACAAGGTGCTTGAATGAATAGAGTTAATCCGAGTGCATCACATGCTACACTTAAATACTTTAATTGAATAAAAAAACATCTGACACTTGTTTCAAGTACTTAATTTTTATTTGTATTCTCTTTCTGTATGTATTGTTGACAATAATAAAATACTTTTATATATCTATCAAAGGCTAAATTAGTTCAGCTAAAAGGTAACACGACATTTTAACTGTTAGGCGGAACGAAGTTCGCCGGGTCAGCTAGTTATTAATATTGTTTCATTGTGGATTTTAAAACAATACAGTTTACTAACATTGACGGAGCTGAAAAATAGTTAAGGGAATTCCTCAAGGATTTACATTAAATCTGATGGCGAAGACCTCTTCATGTACCTATCTATCAATATTTAATATTTATTCATATATAATCTATTCATGTACATTAGCTATCTCCTCTACTAGGTATAATTTGTTATTGTAACCTATTAAGCTTTTAAAGAATAAGCACAAATCTTGTTGCAAGTATTTCGAAACTATCATTAGAAAACATATTATTATAAATAATCATTTGTAACTATTTTTATGCAAATAATCTTCTATAGTTTATGGAATTTTGAACACGTTTCACAAATAGATTAGGGAAGCATGATTTAATATACAATTATCACCACTTCTCTCTCGTTGTATTATCCCGACTAAAGGATTATGTTAATTTTAGTATGTTTCAAGGTGTAATATTTATTGTCATCTTGTTATTTCAATTTTTGTACATTCATGTAAATTTTAGCGTTATATTCGATTGAAATACAGCACAGATTCCATTGCAACTTAAAGGTGCTCGCTTACTGGAAGGATTCGCGTGTAATGTAACATCATTGATTCAACTTTGAGCATTACATTACAATAGTACCTTTCTGACTAACGAGCATTTGCGTGTAATATAACAACGAGCATTTTCGTGTAATGTAACATATTGATTCGACTTTGAGCATATCATTGCAAGATGTCAGACGAAGCGGGCGGGCGGGGGGCTGGGGGAAGTAGAGCGCATTGATGTTACAAGTTGTATCAAGATATTACACATTGTATGCATTGTAATGCTCGGTTCTCCTCCTTCACTGATCTAATGCTCAGATCTGTAACGTTATATTACACGCGAATGCTCCTGGTGAGGGAGCACCTTTATAAAAAGCAACACAGACCAAACGGCAGCTCTCATTGCTAAACCTAAAATGTGACTTCCAGTCAAAACCCTCCGTATGAAGAGGAAACTCATAATCCAGCAGTAGACTGTGACGGAATACTGATTTATAACCCTATTATTATTGAGAATTAATTGACATTTTGTTTTACTTGGAGTTATTTCATGTATTGTTTATGTATCGACAAAGCCAATAAGCCATGGAAGCGCCTGAAAAATTACTCATGTACTTACTTTCTGTTTTGTGTGAAATTGACAAATAAATAAGTGGTAGATACAAAGGTGTTACTAATACTGTTCCAGTACAGAAACTGCATTGAATTTTCCAGGGTCTATTATTTTATAGGGTAGTTGCCTAAATTTTATTTTAATGTCCGTTATGTTTAACGTTTATGAGTATGTTTAACGTATGTTTAGACACGTATTTTTTTCTTTTCTCACAAAATTAAATAATTTTGACGATATTTTAATCTGAAATATCGTGTGACGTTACTATGCGCTACATTTTGTAACGCATAGACCCTGGTGATCCCGGTTAGAACCCTAGTTAGTTACAAGAGCCCAACCAAACTATTAGAAATTGACATGTATTGCCTTTTCAAAAAAAAGATTCAACTTGGTGAGGCCGCTTCATTTGATGTCAAAAATCGAAGGTCTGAAGAATCAACCATTAGCAAGTCTTAGCTGTATTATAGATATGGTAGTGCCGCCTTTTACCATTGGTACATAAAAATCGACTGTCATTGCAAAAATTCAGCGTAGTGGGAAATGTCTTCAAAATCTAACCTTTAGCGCCATTGTTGGGCGATTGCCTCCCTTTTTGCTTTTACGCATATTAATATAGGTAATTAAAGAGAAACTTTGAATAAGATTAGTGTGACTTTTATACATAGGTACACTCACAAGATTACAAGAAGTAATAGTCAACTGAAATAATGTGTCATATAAGAAAATCAAAAGAAATGTTATAAGTAACTAATGTTGTGTGACTTGGCCATTGTAGGGTACACAAGAGTATAAAACTAGGTGCAAGACACCATTACACCAATCTATCGCCAGACTCGATATCTATTTAATCAACTTTTTCCTAGTGGAAACTTCCTATCTTCAATGGATAGCAGTTCAACGGCCAAGTAACACAAAATGAACTATAATAATAAAGAAATCGCGGTAAGGAACCTTAGACTTGGCAAAACTTTGTCTAGATTTTAATACTTTTTAGAGATAAACAAGCTGTTCGAGACTTTTTATAGAATGTTTTGGTTGAATAATATAATTGTTATGTTAAAATAAAATACAAGATAATTTTTTTAGGTAAGTTAACTACAGACTTCATTTTTTTAAACTTTCGTAATAAATATGTTCTACTCACCACTTTTGAATACACGTTTATTTTAGGTAACGTACGTCTCTTAAGGTCAACCCATTTTACCAAAAAAATACATTATTATATAGCAAACTGGTTCAGCCAGTCCCTTTAACATGTTCCATTGCTCATATAAAAAGAAAAAATATGCACTGAGTAATTATCAGTTACAGCTTAGTACTTCGAAAGTAAACATACAAACCTGCAAAATGTACAAGGTACGGTGGTGTATTAATAAAATGTAAATCATAATATCACAGATTTCACACTGAACATTAATACAAAATCATAATTATGATAGAGTAACTATAAACAAAAGAAGATTCAAACTAAAAAAAAATAAATATTTTAATTCACTGTATTTTTTTACAGATCTTCCTCCTCGCCGCTATATTTGCCATGGTCGCCGCGCGGCCACAAGAGGGTCACGGTCACGACCAACACCACGGTCACGGCCACGCCATCTCATCACAGAGCATCGTACTGCACCACTCTCAGGAGATCAAGCACCCCGTACACCACGAGGAACACCAGGAAAAACAACAACAAGATAACAACCACCACGAGGAACAAAATCATGACGAACACCATTATGATGGTCATCATCATGAGCAATACCACCACGACGACCACCACTACGAGCAGTACCACCATGATGACCGCCACCACGAACAGTCCCACCACGAAGAACAACATCACGGAGAGCACCATCACGAGGAACATCACGGTCACGCCTCCTCCTCACAGAACATCAAGCAGTACCATGGAAAGGCCACGGAGAAACACGTCGAGTACTATGTAGGGATATTTTACTGAAGTCATTAAATTTCTAATATTATTGTCTAAATGAAATCTGGAACGATATTCTTGATTTAATTTTGTTATAGGCTCATCCCAAATACGAGTTCGCGTACAAGGTCGTGGATCCTCACACCGGTGACAAGAAGTCCCAGCATGAGGCTCGTGATGGTGATGTAGTGAAGGGCGTGTACAGTCTGCATCAGCCTGATGGCTCTGTCAGAATCGTGAAGTACCACTCTGACAAGAAGGCTGGGTAAGTATCAAAAGCCCTTAAAAGTAATGTATCATCCTTTTGATTGTCATATACCTAATTATTGTTTTCCATTTCCTTATAGATTCAATGCCAACGTGCATTACGAAGGTCACGCCATTCATGTCGTTCCTGAGCACCACCACCATCATTGATCCTGTACAATCAGAGACGTTAAATTGTTGATACTTATAACCCAACTGGTTTGTAGATTGTTATGTAGTGAACAAGGCATGTGTTGATTTGTAAATAATTTATTCATTAAAAATTACAATACTACCATATACATACATACTATTTTTTATTTTATCTTCCCTTCTTGTATGAACTATGGAAGTGTACCTAAGAGCACTCCCAAATCGATGCCGGACTATTATGCAATGAGGTAAAAAAATAATATGGTTATGGGTGAGGACGGCTATGGACTAGTACCTTCGAAACCTTCGAAAACTGTAGGGCCAAATAATGTGTCTATTATGATTTTAAACACTACAATTTGATAAGGGCCTAGAGTCGACCTGAT